ATCTCTGTGAGTTCAAGGCCAGCCTGGTCTACATAGTGAATTCCAGGACAGCTGGGGCTACAGGGAGACCCTGTCTCAAAAAGACCGAAAAAAAAAAAAAGATGCTCAATATCACTCATCATGAGCGAAACACAAATCAGAACCAATGATATTATCTCATACCCTCTAGGGTGCCTACTACTGAATCATGCAAAATATTTGTAAGTGTTGGTCGGGACATGGAGAAACTGGAGCCCTTGAGCACCACTGGTCTAAATCATGTAGCAACTATGGAAAAGAATCTGGCAATCTCTCAAAACATTAAACATAAACACTTGGGAGGCAGAGGTAGGCAATCTGAGTTCAAGGCCAGCCTGGTCTACAATAGTGAATTCCAAGACAGCTGGGCTACAGGGAGACCCTGTCTCAAAAAGACCAAAAAAAAAAAAAAAAAAAATTAAACATAGAATTATATAATCCAGAAATTCCAATTCTGGGCTTAGACCCAAAAGAACTGAAAATCTGGACTCTGAGAGCTATGTGTATACTCAAGTTTGAACAGCACTATTCACAATAGTCACATGGTGAAATCAATCCATATGGCCTGCCACAGACGAATGCTAAACTGAAATGGTTTCTAGCCATATACAACAGAATACTATTCAGCCTTTAACAGGAAGAAGATTTTGACACATTCTATAGCTTGGCTGAGGACATTATGCTAAGTAAGATGAGCAGTCACAGCTTAATGAGATTCCTAGTGGAATTCAGAGAAAGGAAAAGCAGTGGTTGTCAGGGGCAGGGGGAGGAAAGAGGGAGCTGGTTAATGGGTAGAGTTTCATTTTGGCAAGATGGCAGTTCTGGAGATCCATTGCAACAATACAAAAATATTTAAGGCTGCTGAAATAGCTATACTTTGAAAATTTACTGGTTTAGACAATAATGGTGTTTCCATGTACTATACCACAATTTTGGGGGGGGGACCTACACACACAACAAATGACTACCAACCAGTTTGCAGAATGGATCCCCATCAACCCTGCATTAGGATTGACCTCAAAAGCCACCTTTCCAAGCCCAGCATGAAGCCAAGTATGTTAGTTAGTTTTTCTCAACTTGACACAAACTAGACTGGGAAGGGGGAACCTCAGTTGAGGAATTTCCTCAGACTGACCTGTTGAGCACTGTCTTGATTGTTAATTGATGTGGGAGAGCCCAGCCCACTGTGGGTGGTGCCATCCCTGGGCAGGTGGGTCTGGGCTGTATAACAAGGGTAGCTGAGTAAGCCAGGGGAAGCAAGCCAGTCAGCAGCTTTCTCCATGGTTTCCTGCTTTAGGTTTCCTGCCTGAGCTCCTGCCTTGGCTTCCCTTAGTGATGGACTGTCACTTGGAAGAGTAAGATGAAATAAACCCTTTCCTCTCCACGTTGCTTTTGGTCATGGTGTTGAAAACAAACCAGAACACCAATGGCCTTTAACTCAAGAAGGGAAAGTGGGGACTTGGGAGGGAAGCCCGTGGGGGTGAGCTCAGACACTTGGGGATGCCCATACCTGCAGCATCTCCGCTGGGGAGGAAAGTTGTGCTCCAGGTGGTTCTGAGGCCTGGGGCTCCCTTACCATGAGACTTCCTGTGACTTGCTTCCTCCTCCTGCAGGCCTCACAACCAGGCAGAAATCCCTCTGGAGGGAGGAAAGTGGAGGGTGGCACTATCCCCCTGGAGCTTGCTGTTGACTACAGGGGAGCCAGTGCACACTCAATATCAGCACCTCTTCTGCGCTTGCTACTGGCTGGCTCCTTGCCGCCAATTGCAGTGGGTGGCGCTTGCATATGAGCATGTGGTAGGCGTGGCCAAAGAGCTGGGCCTGCCGCAGTGTGTCCTGGGCAGAGGGTGGTACGCAGTGACTGGCGAGTGCAGAATGTGTTCCAGGTGGACCTTACTTAAGCACCCCTTGGTCCTATGATGAGCTGAGGGCAGGCCTGTGCTTGCCTCAAGCTGATCTGGGGTGGGCAGGAGGGGCGGGGCGGGATCTCGAGCAGTCCTCAGGACCCCTGTGTGAGCATTTGGGGATGTCTAGGGAACAGTTAGGGTACTGCTGCCCAGTGGACCTTTGAGGACTCTGAGAGCACCCCTGGAGTGGGTTTGCGGAGCTTTTAGGGTAGGATGGCGCACTGTGCCAAAACCTCCATGAGCCCCTCAAGGTCCCAACTCTCCAGATTTTAGTAATAGGTCCGTGTCAAGTCCACATGTACAATTCTGCTAGTGCTTGCCTCTGATGCTACATGGGGTCCTTTCCTCTCCGAGTCTCTGTGAAGATAACTGAGTCATATTCAGAAAGTATTTAGAAGGATTTCTGGGCCGAGTGAGCACTACATGGGTTAATGGAATAAACATGGAATGTCTTCCTGCCCAGTTGCTTATGAAGCCTTGTCACTCTGAACAGAAGGATTTGGGGGAGAGGAGTGGTGCTAATAGAATTCTAGACAGAAAACAGAATTCTTTTTCATTTTAGGCATGAAAATAAACAATCAGCTTATATTGAGCTCATATGCAAACATCCTCATGACTAGGAACAGTAATGTCCCCAAAAGTCTATATGGGTCTCATCCTCACAGAACTGGATGCTCACTAGCTCAGGCTAGTAATTTTCAGAAAGCTCATCTTTGAGTAAGTGTAATGATGGATGTCTTTAAATAAATTAAAATCTGAGGTGAAAATAAACACTGGATTGAGAATAATAAGAACAGCAGCACCCATTTGGGTAGGAGTATGATGGCTGCTCACTGAACAACCTCCTAGTGGACATTAGCAATGGCTGTTCTTTATTCCCATATGTTGATTCTCCCGGGTGAACAGATGGGGTCCTGGGGAGGGAGGATTGTGAACAGGGCTGCCATGCCCACTGTAAGGTGCCCTCACCTCCAAGCTCCTTTAGAACTTGAGTCAATCTTAGTGGTCACAATACAGTGGAAGAGACTCGCCCTGTTTTTCTGAGCTTCACCTGGTCACTGCTGTGTCCTTGCCTGAGGCACTGGGGGCTTCAACACAGCAGTGAGGAAGCCATGTTAGTCCATGAGAGCAGCTACATGGTGAGTGTAGGTCTCATGGAGGTGTGGCCTCACACCAGCCACCAAAAGTGAATGAGCTGCTTTGCTCCCATGTCACTGACTGCCTTCCAGTCTTCCAGGGGACTCAGACACTGCATAGCAGGTACACTCAGATCCAGTGGACATTGCCGACCAGCTTCCTATCATGAGAAGTGGCCGTGGCCACACAAATGTTCTTGAGAGGGTCCAATAAGTTAAACTAACAGCTACCAGTGCCAGCAGGGACCACAGGGTCTCCTCTGGGTTGTCTTTGAACCAAACTGTATTTTGAAGCTCTGACCACAGTACCTCTGAATTTGTCTGTATTTTGACCTCAGGTCTGAACAGAGGCCACCGATAGGGGTAGGAGGGGTGCCCAATGCAGAGTTTCCCACTCACTGTAGGTCGCTCTCACTTGGGGGAACTCAAGCCCCCAGGGCCAAGAGCAAGCTGTAGACAGGTCTCAATGCAGCAAAAGAAATGAAAAACCCAGCTTCACTAAAGGGCCAGCTTTTGATAGCCAGAGCCTCAAGCAGGCAGATGCTTGCAAAGATTACCATAGCAACTGGGAACCACCAGAAACTTCTCAACACGTTGACAGCTCTTCCCTGGTTGGCCCCATCTTTCACCTTATTAGCATACCCACATTCAGCCAACTGGGGCCCAAATGGCTCTCAATAAATTGGTCTGTCCTGAAGCTTCAAGACACCTCTACCATGGAACTCAATGGCAAAGCAGGACCTTAGGTCACGGCTCCCTGCTACAGCCAGGTGCCAGGTCCCCAGATGCTTCTGCTTTAAGATTCCTTGGAGATGGACTCACCTGTTCCTCACACCTGAGGCTTCTGCCCTAGGCAGGAAGTTCTCTAAAGCCAGCCTCCAGACTTGACCATCAGCTGCAGGCAGAGGGACTCATTCCTGCCTCAGTCACCAGGGACCTGCCACTCTAGCCTTCAAGACCTGCTGGAGGTTGGGGGGAGACCCACTGCTTCTGTCATGTAACACCTGCAACCTCTCATCTAGGTCCCTGAGGCCTGCTGAGGATGTAGAATCTCTCAGTTCACATCCTTTTGCCACCAAGGGTCTTATGTTCTTACTTTCGCATTTAGGCTGTTATTTCCATGTAGCAAAAGTCTAGCCTAGTTTTCCGTTGGTGGTCTACCCACTCAAATCTTGGGACAAGAACCCAGCTACAAACAGGAGGCAGTCTCCAACCACCAACCGCTTCACCAGGAAGGTAAAACAGGGACCTCTGGACAAATTAATCCAATCTGACTGGTCTCTTTACATGAGGACATACACGTGCAGGATGACAAATGAAGACACAGGGAGCAGCCAGCATCTGACAGCCAAGGAGACCCCAGGAAGAGCTGGCCCTGCCAACTCTGATGTGGCTTCCAGGCAGTAAATCCCTGCTGTGTAAGCTTGTCTGTGGTTCTGTGGGCAGCTCTGAACATGCTTGTTCAGGGTGTGGGTACTCTCAGTGGTACAGGCTAACTGGGGGTACCCAGTACCTTCTAGAATGGGGCATGCAGAGGAAATAATGGGTACTCAGAGCCTCCAGGCCGCAGTGAGCCATGCTGCCTTGCCATGCATCTGGGAAGTCCCTAGAGGGTGACCCTACTTTCAGGGATAATATGCTGTAGTGGACAGAAAAAATGAGGCCATGTGGCATGAAGCAGCTTGCTTTCCTGGTCTCTGCCCTCCCTGCTCTTGTAGGAATGCTATTTATGTTTACCCTAATTATTGAACCTCAAATGACCACACAACAACACTGTCCTCTGCCCTGTACATCTATATACTGCTGCAAGAGCAGATCAGTCCTTGGTTGGTGACTACCAGGTGTCCATCCACAAAGCAGAGATGATGCTCCCACATGGAGGTGCAGGTCACAGAAGCAAGCTTCACAAAACCCCAGTGACAGAGTGGGCTTTGTTGGAACCTATGACGTTTTATTTTCTCTCCCTCCCTGTAAAACATGGATGCTATTAGTCCATATTCCTCATAGGAATGTTCTGTAATGCTCTGGACCACAGTTCTCCATGTTCTAGAACTTTTCTTTCTGTTCCATCAAAACTTTCCAGCACAGTGTTCCAGTCCTTGGGGCTCCAAGTAATGATGCCAGGGCTGATCAAACAGGAGGGTTTGCTGCCCAGTCCAAAGCAAAGCATGACGTCAGACTTTCTTACTGACAAGGAATGAGGCTGGAGCATTCTGACCTTTTTTTCTGTGTAAAGGGCCTCCAGGTTGGGGGTGGGGCTGCTCATTCTCGGCAGATCCCGTCTCTGCTCATGTGCAGGCCTGAGAATGGAAAAAAGGAATTAAAGAAGTAGAACCAGAGTACTTGCAGGAGGTACTTGGAGGAGGGTGAGCCGACAGAGCACAGCAGAAGCCTGGTGATTCACATGCCCTGCTTCCTGCTTCACTGTTTCCAGGTGGATCTTTATTGCTCCCTTTCTTCAGGGTCCTTCGGATTCAACTTACTCTTCTTTTTCAAGTTTCTTAAGGTATAAACTGCGAACATTGATTTGAGGTCATTTTTCTATTTCGCTATAAGCATTTCGTACTATAAACTTCCCTACTAACACCTTGTAAAATTTAATATGTTATGTTTTCCTTTTATTCAGTTTAAAAGACTTTAAATTTTCCCTTTTAATTTTTTCCTTGGCTCAAGGGTTATTTAAACACGTGTCACTTTTTTCTCACATACTTGTGGATTTTCCAGGAATCTTATGTGTGGTGTTTTAAATAAGTATCCCCCATAAGCTCCAAGTATTTGAACACTTGGTTACTTGGTGGCTTTGTTTTCAGAGGTCCAGGAGACATAAGCTAGCTGGGGGACATCACCGGCATAGTCAGGTCCCATTTCTGGCTTATCTCGCTGTGCTTCCTGTGCATGCTTGAAAAGATGAGCACTCAGCATTCTGCTCCACCTGCCTCCCAGCCACGATGGATTCTTATTCCTCTGAAACTGTAAGCCCAATAAACTTTTCCTTCTATAAGTGGCTGTGGTCATGGTGCTTTATCACAGTAACAGAAAAGTAACCAATAGAGAAGTTGGTACCAGAGGGTGGGCTGGTGCTGTGAAGAACCTGACCATGTCAGTTTTGGGAGGAATGTAGAGGACTTTGGAAGTTTGGGCTAGAAAAGCTATTGAATGCTGTGAGCAAAGCTTAATGGGCCATTCTAGCAGGAGCCTGGAAGAAAGCAGTGCTGAGGGCAAGACAGAGCCAGAGAGAAATAAGGACTTAAACAGCATCTGGGATATTTTGGCAAAGCTTCTGGCTGCCACCTGCCCATGGCCTAAGAACTTGCCTGAGGTAAAAATAAAAATGTAAAGGACTAATTTCTTTTTAAAAAATATTTTTAATTATTATTTTTTGCATGTGAATGTATTGCCTGCATGTGTGTAAGTGTACCTGTGTCATCCAATGCCCACAGAGATCAGAAGAGAGTGTTGGATCCCCTGGAAATGGAGTTATGGACAGCCGTTAGCCACCATGTGAGTACTGAGAATGGAGGCTGGGTCCTCTGCAAGAACAATGAGTGCTCTTAACCACTGAGCCATCTCTCCAGCCTCAAGGACTAATATCTTTGTTGGAGAAAATTTCAAGACATCCCAAAGTTAAATTGGTTGCATTACTATTAATGGTGAATATTATGCAGATCTACAATTAAAAACAGCAAATGGGATAGAAAGAAATACAAAATGTACAGTTTGAAGAGGAAAAGAAGGCTATGAAGTTTAACTTGACAGCCAAGGTGTGTTCTGGAAGAGAGTCTCCCATTGTTAAGGAGATTAGAGACTTTAAGAAGAGGCCTCCATGTTTGTACCCTCAAGGCAAGACCCCATCAAATTTAGCTTCCAACTTGTGGAAGGAGTTTTCTGCTCCTAGGAAACCACAACATACAAAAGCTGCTGGTAATGTGGGTGAAGAGAGCCAAGGTCCATTCCAAGTTGGCAGTCAAACTTAGCAGTGTTGTTCACATGGTGCTAGCTTTAGAGGCATGAAAGATCCAAAAGTGAAGGATCATTGGTTTTTCCTCCACAGTTTCAGGGAACTGCTGAGGCCAAGCAGGAGGTTGAGCAGGGGAGTCCCCGTGTAAAGAAAGCTCTGAGAGGCCATTCCATAAAGCAGTGAAAATCAAGCCTGGTTGGAGGTGGAGACTCCAAAATGTTGGAGATACCAGAGCTGTGAGCCATCTGCCAAGAAGAGCCGTATATAGGTTGTGGTACCAGCCCAAGAAAGAGAGATGCATGTTGCAGGCAGCAAAGCTGAAGGGTGTGAGCCATCTGAGCCCTTTGGAACTAAAATCTAAGACATCTCACATGGAGCTATAAGATTTGATGTTTGCACTACTGGGTTTTGGTCTACATTGGAACACAAAGAAGTTGGTTCTAATATTGGCAAACGAATGCCACAGCAACAAGAAAAACTGACCAGTGAGAGTGAAGGTAAGCAGGCAAAAAGCAAAAGCTCTCTTCGGCCATAGCCTTTTATCGGGGCTGCCGCCGGAAGGTACTGCCCACTTTTAAGGCGGATCTTCTAGGTTCAAATAACTTGATCGAGAAATTTAGTTAATCACATTTTGGTTAATTCCAGATCCAGTCAAGTTGACAACCAAGATCAGAGTGTCACATTATGGTTATGTATTTTTGATTTAGCTCTGTTGTGGTCAGAAAGTTTATTTTGTGTGGTTTAAGTCCTCCAAAATTTACCAGGATTGGCCTAGTGTGGTGGTGCACGCCTTTAATCCCAGCACTCAGGAGGCAGAGGCTCTGTGAGTTCAAGGCCAGCCTGGTCTACATAGTTCCAGGCCAGCTGGAGCTACAGGGAGACCCTGTCTCAAAAAAACCAAAAAAAAAAAAAAAAAAAAAAATTACCAGGATGGTTTTGTGACCCAGACTGGGGTAACATTTCATGTGTACCACAGAAGAACATGTATCTGCCATGGCTGGGTTGAGGGTTTTATCAATACTAAGTAGGGCGAGCTCATTGATAGTGTTGTTTGGAGCTTATATGTTGTGGCTGACTTTCTGTATACTTATTCTATTAATTATTGAGGTTAGGGTACTGAAATGTTAGGCTATGGGTTTATTTCTCTCTCCTTAAAGGTCTCTCCATTTCTGCCTCATGTACTTTGAGGTTCTCTTATCAGTTTAAGATTGCATTTCCAGAGCTAGATATGGTGGTGCACACCTCTAAATCCAGCACCCCACTCAGGAGGCAGAGGCAGAGGCAGGTGGATCTCTGTGAGTTTGGGGCCAACCTGGTCTACATGGTGAGTTTCAGGCCAGCCAGGTCTACATAACGAGGTCCTGTCTCAGAAAAATTATATTTCTTTCTTTCTTTCTTTTTCAGACAAGGTCTCACATGTCCCAGTCTTGCTGTGTAGCTGAGGATGACCTTGAAATTCTCCTGCTCCCACCTCCCAAGTGCTGTAATCACATGTGTGTGCCACCACACCTGGCTAGAATTCCTCATCTTTTTTGATTTTTTCACTTGTGACTGAACTCATGGATAATAGCTAGAGCTGAAACAACCATCTTAGACCCACAAGAGTAAAACTACATGTTCAAACTAGTCCCTGAAATTTGCGGAAAACATTTCATCTGTATTTCCATCTATACCCTGGATTTCTGTAAGAAATAAACTAGGGGTCAGTGAGTTCAATCCCTGAGATACACATGATGGAAGGAGAGAGCTGACTCCCACAAGTTGTTTCCTGACCGCCACACATGTAACATGGCAACTCCCCTCCCATACATGCACAGGAAATAAATAAGTAAATGATTAAAGTGAAAAATAAATAAGCTTACTGCTCAGAGTCATGCTGTAGACTGTGGGAGCCTGAAGAGATATTTGTGCCTAGCTTTGACTCCAGGTGCCTTTCTCCTGTCCTCACTGACAGAGCTTCCCGCTGGAGAAGGCACAGTCCCCGACCTCCTCCTGAGTGAAACTCACCCCTGGGACTCAGTGATCAGCATCAGAGGAGATAGTCTCCTCCTGTCTTGTGCTAAGTGAGTCAGAAGGGCCTGGGCAGCCAGTCATTTAGGTGTCAAAGGACTCACTGGTATGTGCCCTTCCTCTACACTTTCCTTCAGAGGGCTAGCCTCAGCTCTGGGATCTTTGCCCACCTTGGCAAAGGAGAGAAGTCTAGAGCAGAGGTCCTGCTGATCTTGCTTAATGATCACAATGAGAAGAGGACCCACACTGTTGCCCTCACAAAAGCACCTACTTGATGGACACTGACTGTCCGGTAGCCTCCCCCAGGCTGGCTTTGTGGAAGCACCTTTCCTTGGTTGGTCCCCCACCTATCTGCATCCAAATGGCTCCTGCTGGCTTCAGCAGTGCAGTCTCTCCAGACCTATCTTCATTTTTTCACTCTCTACCAGACAACATCCTCAGTCTCCCACAGACCTCAGGCTACTCTTGACATGTGATTCTCCCATGGTTCACTGCTTCCTCAGAGGAGAAGGCAGCTTTGGAGGTCTCCTGCTTCCTTACCATAAGCACTTGCCCAGTGGACCCACTGGTCCAAAGCACCACAGAGCAGAGTCCCAGCCTGGCTGCCTACTTGGGCCCAAGTTGTAGTACAACCCCTTTCTTAGAATTTTTAAAAAGCTATTTTTATTTTATGTGTACGAGTGTTTTGCCTACATGTATATGTGTACCATGTACATGTAATGTCCATGGAGGCCAGAAGAGGACATTGGAACTGGAGTTATGGTTGTTGGCTGCCATGTGGATGCTGGGAATTGAACCTGGGTCCTCTGCAAGAGCAGCCAGTGCTCTTAACTGCTGATCCATCTCTCCAGTGAGACCCCTTTCCTCTCCAGAGACAAGATGAGCCGAGGTAAGCAGACACCCAGCCACAAACAGTATCAGAGCCATGACAGTAAACTACTGTTTCTCGCAAACTTGTAGTTCTGAGGCAGGTTAATTGCACAGCAGGTACAGGATGGTCAGTATGGTGATAGGTAAATAGCCTGGTCCCCACACACCTGTCTACTATCTGGCCACTGGTTGACCCTGCACCAAGCCTCCCTTGATTATTTCTAACATCTTCAAAGTCACATCATATGAATTCAAAGGTCACCTTGCCTCTTTGCTACTGTTGTCCCCATTTTTTTTTTCCTTGTTGTATGACACTGGCTGGTTTGGATATAGTTTGAGTGTGTTCTCCAAGGCTTCACATGCTGAAATTAAATGCCCATTGTGGGTTATTAAGAAGGCAGAAGCTGGGTGTGGTGGTCCATGCCTTCATTCCTGGCACTCAGGTGGCAGAGGCAGCTGGATCTCTTTAAGATTGAGGCCAGCATGGTCTACATAGTGAGGTCCAGGCCAGCTGGGGCTACAGGTAGACAATCTGGCTGGTGCTTACAGGTGGGACTTGAGTGATGATTAGATAAGGGAATGGGGTAGATCCCTGGTGAGTAGAGCCTGAATCCTAAAGACTATAAGAAGAGAATTCCACAAAATGTACGTGTATATTCTGTCTCTTGCTAGGTAATGTCACCTCAAGACTGCCAAGCAAGAAGGCCAGATGAAGTCTTGATTTTGGATCAAAATGGTGGGGCAAAATCAACCACTTTTTAAAAATAAATACCCTGCTTCCTATATTTCATTATAGGAATGGCAAATTAACTAAGACACAAAACTGCAAACAATTCAGAGTTGTTTTATGTTTGTATGTGTGTACGGGTATGTGCTGTTTGAAAATGTGGGTAAGTTTGTGTAGTGCAGTGTCTCCAGCAACCTGGGAACATCTCTGAAGACATGGCAAATGTATCCAGAATCTCTCTGATTGCTCAGCAGAGGGGGTGGGGCCTCCTGGATACCCAGGCTGTACTAGCAACAGAAATAACACGCATTGTCATGAGTGGGGCTTGGAAAGACAATCTGGCTCTCTCCACAGGAGCCAGGGCAGCACGGTGGCAAGGGATCAACAGAAGGAAAGTCCAGGGACCCAAACTCAAGAGTCACCAACTCACACCATGGGCACCCAAAAGAACTTCCTCTGGCCTCTTTAGCAAGGGCTAAATGTCTAAGGCTGTGTCATTGTCCAGTGGCACACCAGAGAAAGGGCTTCATATCCCCCGCCCAATGCAGTATCTTTGAGGAGCACCCCTATGTGGCAAGGGAGAGGTGACAGGAAGGGAAAGGTGACAGCCAGCAAGGGTCATGTGCTCAAGCAGGACACAGCCCCAGCCACCTGACGTGGGATGGAGTAGTCTAATTAGATTCCTGTCTCGGAAAATGCAAAGGCAGCCCAGAAAGCCACACAGCCTCCACAGCCACGGCACTTCAGATGGCTGTACTCAGCTACTGCTTGGTCCTTAATCAGCAGTGACTTCTGCTAAGGCTTTCAGTGCGCTGGTTGTTGAGAAGTTAATGACCTGTGGATCAGCACCGAAGTCCAGCACACAGCCCTCCTATCCCTTTTGCAGGGACAGCACTTCTTGCAAAGGCTC